CACTCAGGTCCTGGCTCCACCATTTATCCACCAAATACCTCAGCTATTTGACCTCTCTGAGCCTCAGTCTTCTCATCTGCATGATGGGGGTGGTGGGGTCCTTGGGATGCTTAAGCATGCTAGCACATGAAAGTCCTGAACACGCAGGAGGTGCGCAGCCAGTGGTGGCCATTGCTGTTTAAATAGGAAGGAGGAGGAAGTGATCAGTCGGTGTCGGTGGGTGCACAGAAGAGAGGGCCCCGGGGAGATGCAGAGCAATTCAGGAGGCCGCTCAGAGCTGGCCTCCCCTCCTGTCTCTGCCCAGGGGAGCCTGGGGAGTGGTGACAGTGTGCTCATTCAGGGCCAGCAGCAGGGGTCGCAGAGCACAGGCTGGACGGAAAAGAAGGACCGCAGGCCCAGGAGTCGGAAGAAGAAAGGCCATGGCTCCGCCGAGGCTGTGGAGTGAGCAGCTGCGGGACAGGATGGGAGGGGGCCAGGACCCCGGGGCCAGTGCGCAGCCCCTGAGCCCTGCTCTCCCTCTCTCCAGTCTCTTGCCTGCTCCTCGGAAGCCCTCCTTCCCCTTCCAGTGGGCCTGGGAGAGCTTTGCCACAGATGGCCGGGCTCTGCTTCGGCCGAGCTCCTCTTCGGCCCCTGGCCACCAGGCCCTGCCCTTGCCCGCAGCGGTCTCCCAGCTCAAGTCCAGGTGCAAGTCCACAGCCAACCTCCCGGAGGCCCACGGCTCCTGTGGGAAGACAGAGGTGCACAACCTGGAGATGAGACAGCAGCTTGCGGGCAGCATCCCTGTCTCTCCTGGTAAAGAGGAGAACCAAGGGCTAGAGCTGTCCAGTGGGTGTGACCTCCGGCCACCTGGGGAGCGGTCAGGGTCGGCATCCGAGTCCGAGGATGCTGCTGAGCCAGAAGGCCCGGGTGCTGAGGAGGACGAGGGTCTGAGCCCTGGGGAATGGCCCCAGCCCCCCAGCACGGGGTCAATCTTGGAGGAGGAGAGGTTCTCAGAAGTGGCAGAGGAGGCCAAAGAGGGGGAGCATGCGGCCCCCCAAAGAAAGAGGGCCAGTTCTCGGAAAAAGGGGCAGGATTCTGGAGAGCAGGCCTCGGATGAGGGGGAGCTCCAGGGCCAGCACCAAGGGAGTGCCTCCAGCTCCAACAATCTCCGAGAGCCACAGAGGAGGCCATCAAGGACCAGGGAGCTGGAGGGGCCATGGGACCTGGAGAAGCCGCACAGGCAGTTGCAGCAAGACTCGGGCTGTGGTGAGTATGGGGCTCAGTGCCTGGGTTCCCCAGCAGCCACACGGGGGGAGAGCAGTCTGGGTGCAGGGGGCCAGAAGAGACGGTGGTCCCTGACTTGGTCCCACCGGGACAGGTCTCCAAAAGCAGCCCTGGAAGGTTTCGCAGGCTGCTGTTCAGGCTTCCAACCGGAATGGGAAGGCCAATGCCTTGGCGGGTGATGAAAGTTTCCTGTTTGCCAACTTCCCTAATCGCACCTTCCAAAAACGACAGGAGGCCACCAGGTAAGGGGGCGGAGCAAGAATGCTGGGCACCAAGGGCGAGGAGGAGAGGAGGAGCAAGTTCTCCAAGAGACAGTCGTCCGTACTCTCACTCACTCCTTTGTTTACCCATTCATCAGTCTGTCTGAGCATTCAGTCATCCATGTATCCACCATCCATCCTCCGACTGATAACATCCATCCGTCCATCCGTCCGTCCATCCGTCCATCCGTCCGTCCGTCCGTCCGTCCATCCATCCATCGTCTCTCTGTCCGACTCCTTGGCCAACCGTCTATTGACACCATCCCACTTTTCATTCATTTACTCTCTTTCCTTCTAGCTGTCCATTAATCTGTTATCTAAGTGATTAAAGAAACATATATATTGAGTATCTACTCACGAGTCCTCACACTATCAGGATAAAAAGACTTGTCCTAGCCTTAGAAGCTCAAGGTCTGGAAAAGGAGACAGACGGACGACTGTGTCAGTTCAGTTAGAGAATTATGGCACCTGGAGCTTGAACAAGGGCCAACGGGAGCAGAGGGGAAGACTGGAGGCCACGAGGGGCTGTTGGCAATGGCTAGTGAGGGATGATAGGTGGCCATGTGGATGGAGAGAGGGGTCCCGTTTAAGAGATATTTAGAGGTTGGCTCAACGGGGCCTGGTGGCCGGTAGACGTGGCTTGTGGGGGTGGGGAGAATTCATAAGCGTTCTTATAGCACCCCTCAATTCTTTTTTTAAAAATTATCTTATTTTATTGACAGATAAAAATTGCATATACTTATGGTTTACACTATGATGTTCTGAAATATGTATACTTTGTGGAATGGCTAAATGAACCTAATTAACATATACATTGCCTCACATACTTATTTTTTTGTGGTGAGAACACTTAAAATCTACTCTTAGCGATTTTCAAGTATACAGTATGTTGTTATTAACTATCATCACCAGGTTGTGAATAGATCTCTTGAACATATTCCTCCTATCTAACTAAAATTTTGTATCCTTGGACCAGCATCTCCCCAGTCCCACCCCCCTGCCTACCCTGACCCTGGCAACCACCATTCTACTCTCTGCTGCAGTGACTTGGGCTTTTTCGGATTCCACACATAAGTGAGATCGTCCAGTATTTGTCTTTCTGTGCCTGGTCTATTTCACTTAGCGTAGTGTCCTCCAAGTTCATCCATGTTGTCTAAAATGACAGGATTTCATTATTTTTCAAGGCTGAATAGTATCCCGGGGTGTACACATGCCACATTTTCATATCCATTCATCATCTGATGGGCACAGGATGATTCTGACTTTGGCATCGTGGATAATGCCGCATGTGAGGGTGCAGATATCTCAACGTACCGATCTCATCTCCTTCGGGTATATATTCCCGGTAGTGGATTGCTGGATCATATGGTAGTTCTACTTTCACTTTTTTGAGGAACCTCCACCGTGTTTTCTATAATGGCTGTACCAACTTACATCCCCACCAACAGTGTGCAAGCACTCCCCTTTCTCCAGACCCTCGCCAGCACGTGCTATCTTCTGTCTTTTTGATAGTCATTCTAACAGATGTGAGGTGATATCTCATTGTGATTTAATTCACATTTTCCTCATGATTAGTGATATTAAACGTTTTTTCATTTGTTGGCCAAACGTTTTCACTTGTTGGCCATTTGTATGTCTTCTTTTAAGAAATGTCTACTCATGTTCTCTGTTTTCTTACTGCTGAGTTCTTAGAGTTTCTTATATATTTTGGATATTAACCCCTCGTCAGATGTATGCTTTGCAAATATTTTCTCCCACTTTATAGGTTGTCTCTTCTCTCTTTTGGTTCCTTTGCTGTGCAGAGCTTTTTATTTTGACACAATCCCATTTGTCTATTTTTCCTTTTGTTGCTTGTGCTTTTGGGGTCATATTCAAAAAATCCTTGCCCAGACCAATGTTATGGAACTTTTCCTCTATGTTTTATTCTAGCAGTTTAAAAGTTTTAGGTCTTTTGTTTGTCTTTAATCCACTTTGAGTTGATTTTTGTATATGGTGTAAGATAAGGATCTAACTTCATCCTTTCACATGTGGATATCCAGTTTTCCCAACACCGTTTATTGAAGAGACTGTCCTTTCCCCATTACATGTTCTTGGCATCTTTATAAAAAACGAATTGAGGGGCCGGCCCGGTGGCGCA